TTATCACGTCCAAATTCACAAGAACACTACTTCATCGAATGGTCAAGCCACTTCTTTTTCAATCTCACTTGTATATCGCCCAAATAATCAGAAAATGCACTCACATCGTAACACCATAACCATCTTGTATAGCAGGAGAATCTTTTAATTACCTGATACCTATTGCTAGTATTTCGTGTAATTAGTCAAGTTGCGCAAAAATTGACTCGAACATTTGTATATTAGGTATGAAGCCAGGAATTCAACTAGGTGATTAAAAAAAATTCATTTTTACTCTCTGGGAGTAATTTTGTGTTGTGTGTACTTGTACATTAGGCATGTGTATGTGTAGTGGTGGAACCAAAAATTCAATGAGGGATTAAAGAAGAATTTATGCTAAGGGTCTTCATTTCATCCTTATAGTTTTGGGTTTGATCGGCAACTTCATTATATTTTTTGGTTTCATTTTGAGAGAAGTCACACTTACACTTGTACACACATATTAATTTTAATTTATCTGAAATTCTTAAATATTTTTCAAGTTTTTAAATTTTCAATATTACAATTTTAATAATATATTCTTGCATCTAACAAATACGTTTATTAATTTTAATTTACTTGAAATTTGTTACTATACAAATATTATGTATATATTTCTTATTTTATCTAACATATAATACACTTTTGAAGGGCGAAAAAACTAATTGGCAAACATTTTACATTAAAGATTTGTGCTTATATATTTTTGTAACTTTAAACTCAAAGCGAAAATCAATACAATGCGTTTTATCTTCTTCTTTTTAATAGAAAGAAATAATATTTTGATGTTGTGATTTGTGTTTCGTATAAAGCTAGACACATTTGTTCAATTATTATTTCACTTTATACACAATAATTCATATATTCTTTATTATATAAATTAATGCACCGGGGAAAAAACTCGACTGATTGTATTTGATAGTAACAAATGTTGAGATTGTTCATGATACAGTCGCTAGGTTAAACAAATAACATTCAACTCATTTATAAAAAATAATACATATTCTTAAATATATAATTTCTGACTCCATCTCTTCAATATTATTTTATATGAGTATCTTGTTCTCAGTAATGAATCTGCATTTTGCATTAGACAAACATCGACAATCTCAATCCATGACATATGCAGAAACATTCCATCGATCCATGATTAGACGATTTAAGAATTAATGTTTTACGGGTTCGAGCTTCTAAGATTTTGCAATATTGAAATCTATTATGTTTTATAAGTTATAAATTCATATTTATTATCTGTTGAAAATGAAGTAAATTTTTACAAATAATTTATGTTTGCATCGGCAATAGTGAATTCATATGAACATGTTACCATACTCTACATCCACCTCTAAATTTATCCAAGAAGCTCATTTGCTCATCATACTACTTGTAAAAATGTTTCACACTCCAAGAAACTCGTTTACCATGAAAAAAAAGATGCTCCCTTCGTTCGGCACAGAGGAAGACTTATAGAACTTGTAATTTAAAATGAATGATTAAAATTTGTGTGGCTAACATTAATTCCAACTTAATTTTTTTGGAATAAACTAAATAATATTTGATATTCATGACTAAATACTCACTATAATTTCAAATCTATAATACCTCATAATTCACATAATTGTCTCAAATAAGTAATAGACAAGAAAAATAGAGACAAGAGATAAGAGTTGTCTTCTTTATTTCAAAATATTCCATTTCGGAAACAAGCAATAGGACCTATATGGTTCCTAAAGAAAACAAGCTTTTGGAGTAAATTCCATAACGATTGTACGAAGGTGAAAGTGCTTCCACTTCTCTGAAGGTTTTCTTTTTTAGGTCATAGAAGACCACTTTATCCAAATGTTGGAATATTATTTCTTCATTGAATGTCTTGCAGCCAGACGTAATATTGTTAAACCCAAAGTCAATGAAACGGATGCTATACTCCTTTACCCAACTGCAACTTATTTTATCCTTGAGTATCCACAGGTCTAGAATTGAACTCTTGAGGAGGCAGCCACCGTCTGGCAAGCAAAGCATCCCTTTCAAATCCATCAGAGACAATCCCACATAATCTTCAAAAGGTGATGGAGGAGATATAGCTAGGAACTTTTCACTTTCAAAATCAAATGAAAGAACTGGATTAGTACGGGGACAAGGAAGAAAATAAGTGCACCAATACATACATACATTCATTTACTAAGAGTCCTTGAGATCTCGGAAGACAAGGAGACCGGTCTGCAATTTCTTTCCATCTATTAAAAGAAACGCCACCAAACTTGTTTATGGTAAGAACCTCGCATTTTAGATGTGAAACCTGAAGGATGCCAAGATTACAATACCTTTTAGTCATTGAAGGAACAGTATAGAAAAAATGCACCACTTTGTATTCCTTCCTTGAGTGAAGATATCCAACCCCAAAATGTCTATATCCAGGGGTAGCAGAAAGTGAATATTCTGGCAATTCACACAATTGTTGCAAGGCAGGATTGAACAAATAAAGACGACAATCTGTTGAAAGGCAAACCAACCCGAAACATACTTCCATTGCAGAACATACGAGTTGGGTATCAGGGACAGTAACAGTGTGTAACTCCTCCTTGCTTCCATCCATGTCAACTGAAACAAACCGTAACCAAGACTTTTTTGACCGGTGAAGACATTTGTCTTCCAAAAAAACAAGTTTGGGGGAATTTTGTGTTGATTGTGTGAGGTGAGAATGAAGAAAGGAAGGACTAATTATAAAGTTATTCCACAACTTGGATGTACACCTTAACATGGATAATGACTTGAGGGGACATCTCAGAAAAACAGAGGTTATAACATCATCAGATAGCTTATTGAAGTAGTCAATATTTGGATAATTCCCTTCCTCCTCCTCCTCCTCTGTACTACTACTACTTCTTTTTCTCTGTTGCACTGATATTTTCATCTTCTGCAAAATAATCATTCATCAATCAACACAAAGGAAATAGGGAAACAGTTCAAATTATAAAGAAATTAACACACATAAATCAAACAGTTATACAACTTTCAGCAAATTAATCCACTCAACTCTAACAAAAAATCAAAAATTGTGCTGAAATTTACAATTCTGACCACGGAATCCATCCTCCAGCTAATTAATCCACTTCACTCAAACTAAAAATTCAAAATTGAGCAAATCTAATCTTAAATTTGCAATTCTATAGGATATTGTATCAAATTTATCAGATGAAATTATGGTAAAAAGGTACCTTTTTGGGTTGTTGTTCCCACTTGTGAATATTTTTGCGTCGAGTAGCTTTCATATTTGCTGAGAATGCCGCCTCAACACTTTAGCGCAGTTCTGGCTGAAGCAGCGGCGACGGCGGAAGACGGTGGTTGAAGGTGGTGGAGGAGAAAAGAGGTTTGGGTTGAGATTACGGGCAGCGGAAAAATTGAATTTTCTGTTCTTTGTGTTTTTTGGGGTTTAAATCTAATATAATCCAAAGAAAACCAACTATTGGTATATATGCTATTTTTATTTTTTAATTATTTATCTTTTAGGCCACGAGCTGACCCAATTCATATTGAGGAAACCCCGGATCGGGTTTAAAAACCTTTTTTTTTAAATGGGCTCCCAAAATTGTAACCCAATCATGGGTTAAGCCAAACCAACCCAACAAAACTAGCCCATATTGATGACTCTAGTGGCGTTCGGGCTAGCTTTCACGATATATCTGTCAACTCCCGCCAACAAGAGGTACCAAGTAACTATGTGAAATAAAAGTAAGGCGAAATGATTTGATACCAGAGGTACCAAGTAACTATGTGAAATAAAAGTAAGGCGAAATGATTTGATAGACTCTTATACTTGTATGAGTTTGTATTCTGAATCATTTTACTCTATACTTCATCAATTGAACCCTTAACTTCTTAAAACACAATATTTGAAACCCATTTGACCATTGACCAAATCTACGTGGCATAAATATTGTTGAGTTGGAAAAATGTGTGAATAAACTTTGCTTCCAAGCGCGTAAATACACTATTTTTTTTATTAAAAAAACTTATTTCTTCATTAACCCTCTCTCACCCACCCCAATTTCTCTTCTTCTCCAAGACTCTTCCCATCCAAAACCCAAAACTTTCTTCTCTTCTTCAACAAAATCACCCACCACACCATTATTTTTTTCCCTTCGAAATCTCCCTTCATACACTCTCTTTTTGTTCTTCAACCCACTCTCCTCTTTGCAACAAATCAACACCCCGTCAAACCATTGTTTATGTTAGTTAGATTCAAAGAGAAGGTATGATATGCATTAACGTAAAGGGTGATAGTGACTATTGAAAAAGTTGAAAACTCCATTGATAAGCTTGAGAAAGCTTGAAGAACGACAAATGAGTCTTATGAATTGGGAAATTAATTCAAATTTGTGATTGAGGCTCGTTGGATTTGCGTTAGTGAACTTGTAGTTGAAATTTCAAGTCAAATAAAGAAGAATTTCATCTATTTGGCATGAATTTGGTGCTCAAATTGTGAGCATATATGAGGATTGAAAAACATGACTATTTAAAAAAATTCAAAATTTACAAAAGTTAAATATTTGATTTTTTTTAATTTTCTTAATATTTAATTTCTTACGTGTCATTGAAAAATGATATGAAATTACATGTATAAGAGGTTGGATGAGACACACAGTGATATGATGAGAAAAAGGTTTAAAATATAGTATTTTAACGAGTTTAAGGATTTAGTTGATAAAGTATTGAGTAGGAGGGTTCAAAATAAGGGTTCATCAGACCATTTCGCCTAAAGGTAATATGAAAATTCTTCATTAGACATGCATATTAAAAAGTTGTTACTTAGACATAAGAGCATCCTTTTCCAACCTTTTTCACTAAGACATTGTTGGAGTCATTATGCAGAAACGACTCAGATGTACTCCAAATCTTGTTGCTTACAATGACTCTATAATTAATTTCTTCAAAGATGGAAAACACGGATTAAAGTCTCTATGATCAGACTATATTTTGAACAATCCAAATTCACAATAATACTTGAAATATGAATCTACAAACTTCATCGAATAAGGTTTGCTCCTTGGTTTCAGCTCTGGTTCTGCAGATGGCTGCTATCAATAAATGAGAGGACAAGCTTAGGGAGAATACTAGCAATAATCATGGTGCAATTCAAGTATTTGATTCATGAGCTCTATACTACCTGTTATGCTCAGCACTGTACTAAAAAAAATAATATAACAGAAAATAAGAAACTAAATTACGAAAAGAAAATGCCAGCTGAAGCTAACAAACTTGAAAATGGAGGTCCTTGATTGAGTATCAAGATTTGGCAGGTAAAGTGGAGGTTTGATTGGATGGTGGCAGTGTCTTCCGTGGAGAACTTTAGGAAGGACCGACCTATATGGTTCCTAAAGAAAACAAGCTTTTCGAGTAAACTCCATAAGGAAAGAACCGATGTGAAAGTGCTTCCACTTCTCTGAAGGATTTTCTTTTTAGGTCATAGAAGACCACTTTACCCAAATGATGGAATATTATTTCTTCATTGCATGTCATGAAGACATTCGTAATCTTCTTAAACCCAAAGTCGATCAAACGGATGCTATACTCCTTTACCCAAGTGCAACTTATTTTATCCTTGAGTATCCACAGGTCTAAAATTGAACTCCTGTGGAAGCGAGCAGCGTCTGGCACGCAAAGCATCCCTTTCAAATCCATCACAAACAAGCCCACATCACCTTCAAAAGGTGATGGAGGAGGAGATATAGCAAGGAATTTTTCAGTTTCAAAATCAAATGAAAGAATTTGATTAACACGGGCGCGAGGAACACAATAAGTCCACCAATACATACATTCATTTACTAACTGTCCTACAGATCTCGGATGACAAGGAGGCCGGTCTGCAATTTCTTTCCATCTATTAAAAGAAATGCCACCGACCTTATTTATGGTAAGAACCTCACATTTTAGATGTGAAACCCGAAGCTTGCCACGATGACACCACCTTTCAGTCATTGAAGGAAAGGTATAGAAAAAATGCACCACTTTGTATTCCTTCCTTGAGTGAAGATATGCAAACCCAAAATGCCAGTATCCAGGGGTAGCAGAAAGTGAATATTCCGGCAATTCACACAATTGTTGCTGGGCAGGATTGCACAAATAAAGACGACAATCTGTTGAAAGGCAAACCAACCCAAAGCGTACTTGCATTCTGGCACATGCGAGTTGGTCATCAGGGACAGTGACAGTGTATAACTCCTCCCTGCTTCCATCCATGTCAATTGAAATAAACCGTAACGTGGACGATTTTGCCGGGTGAAGACTTATTCTTTCCAAAAAAAGAAGTTTAGGGCCATTTTGTGTTGATTGTGTCAGGTGTAAATGAAGGAACGAAGAACTAATAATAAAGTTATTCCACAACTTGGATGTACACCTTAACATGGATAATGACTTGAGGGTGCATCTCAGAAAAAGAGAGGTTATAACATCATCAGATAGCTTATTGAAGTAGTCAATATTTGGATAGTTCCCTTCCTCCTCTGTACCACTACTTCTTTTTCTCTGTTGCACTGATATTTTCATCTTCTGCAATATAATCATTCATCAATCAACACAAAGGAAATAGGGAAACAGTTCAAATTAACACACATAAATCAAACAGTTATATAGCTTTCAGCAAATTAATCCACTCAACTCTAACAACAAAATCAAAAATTGTGCTGAAATTTACAATTCTAAACACGGAATCCATCCTCCAGCTAATTAATCCACTTCACTCAAACTAATTGAGCAAATCAAATCTTAAATTTGCAATTCTACAGGATATTGTATCAAATTTATTAGATGAAATTATGTTAAAAAGGTACCTTTTTGGGTTGTTGTTCCCCCTTGTCAATATTTTTGCGTCGAGAAGCTTTCATATTAGCTGAGAATGCCGCCTCAACGATTTAGCGCAGTTCTGGCAGAAGCAGCGGCGACGACGACGGCGGAAGACGGTGGTTTAAGGTTGTGGTGGAGGAGAAAAGAGGTTTGGGTTGCGACTACGGGTTTGCGTTTTGGGGATTAAATACATGTTAAGAAAACCTACTATTGGTATACTAGGGGTATATTGGGAAATATCATACAAAAATGTCTCTTCTGATTTTAGTACCAAAATTCCATTTTCGAAAACAACCAATAGAAGACTACGACCTCCACCATCAGAGGTCAACAGTCAACACCCAATTCTTCCTTCTTCTTTTTTTGGTTCTGTTGATATTCTTCTCAATTCCTAAATTTCAATCCCACTTTCTACTTAGTGATTTCAATAATAGAGCTTTTTGGGAGTAGCTATAATGGTGAAATTCGAATTGGGTTACGTTTTATTGTTCATTTTGATTATTGGGACTGCAAATGGGGGAATTGAAGGAGTAATCAAAGTAAATTACAAATTTTCCGGGTCTGAACGGACTCTTACTGCCCTAAAAGCCCATGATGAAAAGCGCCATCTCAGACTTCTCGCCGGCGTCGACCTACCTATCGGCGGCACCGGCCGGCCTGATTCCGTCGGGTATGCACTTTTTATGCATATACTTATTTATTTTACTTGCTGGGAGTAGTTTTTGTACCGTGTGTGTACTATAGGCTTGTATGCTTGTACATTAGGTATGCACCAAAGTTTCTGGGTAATGGAGTTGGTTGAGAACTATTTTTGGTTCTAACTCTAGCACAGACAGAGAATACTAGGTGATTTTTCCCATCTTTGTAGCCTTGGTAGATTACCTTGTCCCTGTTGCTAGTGGTGCCAGGTATCCCGTGTAACTAGTCGAGTTGCGCGAAAGCTGGCATAGACACTTATATATTAGGTATGAAGCCAGGAATTCAACTGGGGGATTAAAAAAAACTTCTTTTTTTACTTGTTGGGATAGATTTTTGTACTGTTAGGCTTGTATACTTGTACATCAGGTATGTGTATGTGTAGTGGTGGAGCCCAAAATTAAACAAGAGGATTAAAAATAACTTGTCTTTTTGCTTGTTGGGAGTAGTTTTTGTACTGTTAGGATTGTATACTTGTACATTAGATATGTGTATGTGCAGCGGCAGAGCCAAGAATTCAACAAGGGGATTAAAGAAGAACTTATGCTAAGGGGATACACTAACTGATGTGTGCAAGAAAAAAAATCAATTTTTTCCTTTCACATAGTATAATTTTTTTCGATGAATTGTTTATCGGGAACAACATCTCTACTTCTGATGTAGGGATAAGGTATGCGTACACTCTACCCTCCCCTGAACCCACTTTGTGGAACTATACTGGGTAGTTGTTGTTGTATAATTTTTGATGAATTGAAACGCCTCGCACCCCTCTGTCTCCACCCGTGTAATTGGCATGTTACACATGTTAGAGACTAGTTAACAAAGGAAGACTTCAGGTTATATAAGGTGTATCTGTAATATTGATAGTTGAGGCAGAAGTATAACACATCTACTTTAGTCTGTTAGTTTGATGCACTGTACTTTGAGCTTGACTGCATGTACTGTTATTTCTTATATTGTTACTTTCTCCTATTTGTGGATGGTAACCTGAATGTGGTGTTACATGTCTACTTATCCATTTTAGTTATAGACTTCTATTATGTTATGTTATACATTGATTGTTTTGGTTTGTTAAATAGGAACGAGTTCGCAAGTTCTTGCTAGTTGACAGTTAATTTGCTAAAATAGGTTACTTATTAACATGGGTTTTTCTAAAGTCTAGTTGAGTTTAGTGGCAAAGTTGTAAAAGAAAAGAATAATAGTTTGGATTGTGAAGATAGTATCCAAATTGCTGATGAATTATTGTACTGTTCTGGGAGTAGTGAACACAACTGTAATTCTATTGGTGAATAGCATCAAGTTGGCACCTGTATGATGGTGGTTTCTTGTACCTTGCTACATTGTGGGAATGTAACTGGTTGAGCATATAATGGAAAAGCTACACGCTGTAGTTCATGGACTATGGTAGCTAATCATCTTATTGAAGAGCAATTGCTTGAGAATATATGTTTCCCCAGTAATGATATGATAGGGATATATGTATGCTTATTTTGGTTGTGACTGGAAATATTTTCTTAAATATGTTAGTAGAAACTTGATTAGTGCTTTGGATTTTGAATTTCTTGTTTTGAGCGGAGGGTCTATCAAAAGCAACTTCTCTTCCTTTTAAGGTAGGGGTATGGTATGTGTACACACTTGTTCTTAGACCCTACTTGTGGGATTGCACTGGGTAGGTTGTTGTTGTTGTTGATTTTGAATTTCTAGTTGACTTGACAAAATTTCCTTGAAGTTACCGGATGATTAAATTCCCTAGCTTGTAAATGTTTGACAAAAGTCTATTCATGTAGTGAATATTAGTTTTAAGAAGGTGGTTGATGTTGAATAATCTTGTGCAGGCATAGAAGTCCATGGTTGAAAATAGTATTTCAGTGCTAAGGCTTACAACCTTGGTTCTTGAATTATTGAAGAATGATCCATGGATTTTTTGTGCAAGGTTCAGTTTGACACAAACTATATAACTTATATAGTAAATTGCTCTGGAAAACCCTTACCTTTTTACCATGTTGGGTCATTTTAAGCGTGCTATTGTAGTTGTAATCTGAATTTTAATATATTATAGGCTTTACTATGCTAAGATTGGAATCGGAACACCATCAAATGGTTATTATGTGCAAGTGGATACCGGAAGCGACATAATGTGGGTTAACTGCGTTGGATGTGATCAATGCCCCAGAAGAGGATATCATGGTGTACGTTTCTTAAGTTTTCTGATTGTATATCCTTATTCAGCTTTCTGTATTTACTTTGCTCCCAGAAAAAAGAGAAGTTAGATGTGTTATGTGCTCTTCCTCCCTTTTAATGTAAACATATTTTTTGGCAGCTGGAGCTAGCATTCTACAATCGAAAGGATTCTCTCTCTGGTAAATTAATTTCTTGTGGACACCAGTTCTGCAAGGATGTAAATGGAGGCTCGGTATCAGGCTGCTATGGTAATAACTCATGTTATTTTAATGAAAATTACGGAGATGGAAGCTATAGTATGGGCTACTTTGTGGAGGACGTTGTTCAATATGATCTGGTGTCTGGTGATCTCCAAACTAACTCAACAAATGGAACTGTAATTTTTGGGTAAGATGTATGTTGGATGTATTCTGAGAACTGAAAGTACTTCAGTTGCTTGTTGAAATCATATAATCCTCAACTGAAATTTGCTGTCTAGACCCTTATTAGTTAAAGGAGAAGTCCTACAGGAAGAAACTTTGAACAATCCTAGGTGTCGGTCTTATTCTGTTTTCAGTTTTTATTTGTTGCCCTTATTGTCTTCTATATTCTTGAATTGGTCATAATTTAACTTGGATATAGCCTTATTTTCCTTCTCTGCAGAGCAGAACTTTTTTTAGACTATACTTTTTCAGCCTTTCAGGAATTGAGAGATATTTTTGGTGGGCCTGGAGTGGATAAGGAGAGATTTGAAACCATCTTTTTTGTTACTACGAATTGAAAAGTGAATCTTTAGATGTTCTTTTCTTTTAGTGATTTGACTCAAACACTTCCGGAAAGATCGTCCAAATGCAAACTGCTGTTATAATATTAAACAGAAGGACTTCTACAGTACTTTTTCTCAAACTACATTTGACAAAAGTACATTTCAAACTAAGCAGATCGGAAGCTTGGTTGAACTACCTCTATGTTGGGTTGATATCTAGTGGCATATTTTCATTAATATTTGTTTTTTTTTTCTCTTAGGTTTAGTTTATTGACATTCTTCCTGTTGTTTGGGCAGGTGTGGGGGTACACAGTCTGTAGATCTAAGGTCCTCAGATGACGCTCTTGATGGGGTTTTGGGATTTGGGAAATCGAATTCATCCATGCTTTCCCAGCTGGCTTCATCTGGAAAAGTGAAGAAAATGTTTGCTCATTGCTTGGATGGTGTAAATGGTGGTGGTATATTTGCCATTGGGAACGTTGTCAAACCAAAAGTAACCATGACACCATTAGTACCGAACCAGTATGTTAATTGTCCTGCTAGGTTCTGTTATATTTTAGTTATTTCAATGCAGATCTTGTTGGCTTTTAATATTTCAATCAACATATGTGTTAAATGGACCAAAGTCTAGCAGTATTATTTTACCAGGAGGCCAATTCTTTTTAGGTTGTTTGTTTGAAGTCTTCCAACTTAAATTTTGAAATTATATCTCACTGATTCGACTCATGTCGGACTCCAACATTCTTCTTCAGGGCCTTGATGAGACCCCTTATTTCTGTTCATTCCAAAAAAAAAAAAAAAAAACAGAAGAAACAGAGGATCCTTTTACTCTACTATATTCTGCATTGCAGTTTATCTTCAAAGATTCCAGCTAATTTGATTTTGGCTTTGAGTAACATCTAGGGACCTTGTGAAAATTTGTTTCATGGATTTTGCTTATTTTCAGACTCCCTTCTACTGGAAGATATAATTAGTTAAGTCATTTACTTCTTGTCTGTCCTTTGAATTCTGAGAACTTGGTTCGCAGTTAGATTCAGAGTCAAGGAAGTAGATACAGTAAGATCCTTTTTGCAGAAGTAAAAAACTTTCACTAAAAGCATTTCTTATAGTCATGGTGGAATGGTTAGGTAATATCTTCCATGTGTCATTACATATTCTTCTAATGGTGTGAACCATGTTCATTTGATCCGTCTGAGGAACACCCTTGTAACTTGAACTATCTCATGGATCTTTAAATCTCCTATATGTGCAAATATCAATAAATGAGTTTACTCGATGTAGCTTAAACTGTTAGTCTGTCTTCTTTTTTGTTTATCTCCCTGTATGTCTATCAAAACCCTTATCTATAAGAAGATCTCTATTACAACTGGTCTTCCCAGTAAACATTCTTCTCTTTTCAAATTTTTGTGAGTAATTCAGCATCACCTTATCTGCACTTTAGTTCGGCAAAAAATTAAAATGAATTTAATGCTTTGTACTGACATTATCATGAAATAATTTAGGCAACACTACAATGTCAATATGACGGCTGTTGAAGTTGGTTTTCAATTTCTAAACC